CAAGTGGGTTGTTATCTCCTGTGGTGGTTGAGTGTGGGTAGGTGGGGGTGTGGGTGGGGGCGGGGGGGGGTGGGTAAGGTGTCTGTAATGGAGAGGTGAAGCCGCGAAAACTTGACCTTAAAACTGACACTCACTATTTTCTTCGAAAATATATGTGAATTCCACAAAACAGATCTTTCAAAAAACCGCGCCAGCAGAGCTCAAAATTTCTTAGAGGAGATTGAGTCTCCTCTGGCTTCGCCACTGATTCACCATCATAAAAACTTCATTAAAAAACGGTTTCTTCACTTCTTTTCAAAGATTATAATAGATATTTCAGTTTCGGATGGTTTATGACTCGGATGAAAAGGTAAGAATTGACACATTTGTTGGTTTTATTTCTTATTCATGCAACATGACACATTATTACTAACATCTTGCTTTCATTATAGAATGTACTCATTCCTGAAATCACAGAGGAACTCTTTCGAGAACTGTTTCACTTCTAATACAATCAATTTTCTCATGTAATATATTTTAATTTAACAAGGATTATCCTTTTATTATTAGCGTCATAAGAGATACGTGTCGTAGTGCGACATCTAACGAAAGATTCTGTATTAGCTTACTATTTAACCAATAAAAAAAATCTTACGAAATAAATAACTGATTGACAAATTTTCTAATCATTTATTATAAAAGAAAATATAATTCATAAACTAAAGCGGTTTATTTCTTTTTATTTATTAGATGGCATCACAAAAAAATGACGATCAAAATGGTCTCCATCGTCTTTCAGGTACTGATGACCAACAAGAAGGTGGCTTAATTATTAAAAAGAAAAGTCAAGCAGTATCGTCAGATGATCAAGTTATTTTCAAAGTTCCTCAAGCTCCATCATCGTTTGGTCTTGATAAATTAGCAGCTGAAAAACGTCGTCAACAATCTTTAATAGTAACAACAACATCATCATCAAAACGTTCTAAAACATCATCATTTGATGAAATCGATGATGAAAATAATAATTCTCAGAGTAAAAAATCAAGACATTTACGAGAACAAAGAGTTGAAACTCCATCATCATCACGTTCATCACATCATGATTTTTATGAAAAAACTCGATCAGCACCTAAACATATACAACGTGGTCTAGCCTATGGGAAAGAAGGACATAAACAGCGTATGTTTTTTTTTTAATAAATCTTTTTACCTTCTTTTATAATAATTCTTCCATTTAATTATAGACCGAAATATTGACAAAAAAGATGATGATGATAATAGATATGCTACGCCAAATATTCGTGGTAGTCGAGGTAAAAATAATATTCTTTGAACTAAATTACAAAGAATAATAATTTTTTCTTTTCTTTAGAATCACCATCAAGAGCAGAGTGGGACGATGATGATTCTGATAGACGACGATCTCAATGGGAACATCCAACACCGAATGATAGTTATAATCGTCAAGGTTATCGAAAACATCGTGATACCGATTACTATAACAGGTAAGAATAAAATATTCTATGAGAGAGACAATTTATTGACGATTCTTACAACATTGTTTAGACTTCCAAAAAAGTAAATTTCTCTTATAAATTATGAAATTACCATTAAAACAATCGAAACGAACTGTTCAAAAATGTAGAAATTTCCCAGAAATATAAAAACAACTGAATTAAATTTCTCAATAGTCCTCGTAATAACTCTTAGACAGCAACAAAATTTTCACAATGACTCAAACACCACTGACCTACTATCGGCGCATAAAGTCAAGGCAGTCGGATGTTTTTTGAATAACTCTTGATAGGAATAAGATAGAGACTTGTAATTTTCAGCATTTCATAGCCAAGACCCAGGAGCTTATTTCGATAAACAAAATTTTTGCTGAGAAAAAGTCCAAAGATCAGTTTTTTCAGTGGATCTTTGAAAATTCTCGCGGAATTTCTGGAAACTGTCATAGGAGTATATTGATTTTTTACATATTCGGAGTCAGCATCCAAAACTGAGTCAATGCATGTATAGTTCGAATCTCCCTATGAACTTTGTTTTTCGTCGAAAAATTCATCTCTAGCCCCTTTGACGGGCAGGTAAAAAAATGAACTCAGTCAAAACGGCGTTTTTATTGTTTATTCATTTGCCATTTTATCTGCTTCTAGCCTTTTAGAACCTCTAAACCTGCTTTTCATTGTCTAAGTGGCTTGAACTTTTCGACAAAAGAAAAGTTCATGAAAAGATTCGAACCATATATGAATCGACTCAGTTTTCGATGCTGATTCCGAATATGTAAAAGAAATCAATATACTCCTATGACAGTGTTCAGAAACCCAGCGACGTTTTCCAAAGATCCACTGAAAAACCGATCTTTGAATTTTTTCTCAGCAAAAATTTTGTTTATGAAAATATGCGTCTGGATCTTGGCTATCAAATGCTGAAAATCGTAAGTCTCTATCTTGTTGCTATCAAGAGTTATTCAAAAAACATCCGACTGCCTTGACAATTGGTGTCGATAGTAGTTCCACAAAACTTTCATAATAATAAGTACTCCACAGAAAGGTGATTTGTAAAAATTCTGATTGTTCATATAATTAAAAGAAGACCGCATCTCATGATTTATTGGAAATTACTGAGAAATGTTGGAAATTACAATACATTTCAAAATTTTTTAGATGTGCTATGTCACCATTTCCAACAATTCATATAATAATAGAAAGACCTTATCTCATAAGTTAGTGGACATTTCAGACATTACAGGAAAATTTTCACAGATTTCGAAATTTCTTAGTAATTTCTAGAATGCTTAATATGTGAACAGTTGTAATTGCATACAAGTTGTGCAATTATTCTAGTTGAATATTGATAAATTCGAAATTCACTCGGAAATGTTGTCATGATTGTGGAGAAAGTTTCTTCTTATTGAATTATCTTCATTTTCATTTTCAAGATTAGTTGATGTAAATTCTGACGAATTTCGATAATCTCCTATAAGAGTATCTGGTTGTAGTTTTCGATAAATTATGATGCTACAACGGAAGTTCCCATAAATAGAAAAATTAACTTTTTTGAA